AGCCAAGGGAGTCGAAGGGGGGGGGCAGGTGTTAGGCGCACGGGGCCGCGCCGAAAGGGCGGGGAGCAGTGGCACGTGGTGGGAAAAGGGGAGACGGCAGGCGTGCGGCAATGTGTTGGCGTAATCAAGCGCCGTAATGAACGCCAAACAAGACCCTGTCAATACGCGCACTGCGGCTGCAGTCTTGAGCGAAAGGCGGGATCGTGCAGGCCGGCAGGCCAGAAAATCAGGGGATGCACTTGGCCCTGCTGTAGAAGACAGCAACACGCAGCGCAAGATGACTGGAAGCTGCGGCCGCCCACTCCAAGCAGTTATTCTTGCCAGTGTGCTGTTGCGTGTGCGTGCCCCACCGTCTGCGGGTGACTCCAGCATCCCCAGGAAGCTGGCGCCATAGCCCTCCAGCAGTGGCTCCACGACCTGGGGGTCGGGGTGACGGCGGTGGATGTGTTGGTGGTGGTGTTTGTGGTGGTGGTGGTGGTGGGGTTGGGATGTTTCTCGGGTGAGAACAAAACAACTCCACGAGGGCGATTGGCAGACGGGATGCGTGCTCATTTCAAACGCGTGCATGTGCGCATGCAGCCGCGCCTGGTTGTCCTGTCCAGGGGACTGACAGCCGGGGCCCGGCCTGGACGGCAGCCCGCCTGACATTTCTCTGTGACGACTGCTGCACTCTCAACGCTTGCGCCTCCAGGCGGGCATATCCGCCCGACTCCCCCTGTCTTCCCCCAGGCCCCGCGCTGCTGTGCCCCCGCGCGCCTGCCGCAGCGCCCTGAACCGCTGCACCATGCCACCAGGCCAGTCTCCCTCATCAAGCAGCGTGAAGGGCGCCTGCGCAACGGGCGTGGTGCGGAGGGAAACCCGCCGCCGCTTTCGAAACACAGATATAGGACGAAGATGGAACAGCTGCCCCAGAATGATGACGGCTCACATGCGCCGCCTCGCGATATCAGCTGTGGCGGCTGGCGCCAGAAGGGCAGGGCACAGCGGCTGCGCGGGCCACCCCAGGCGCCAGGCCGGAGAGCTGCTGCCTCATGCTGCGGTGTGCGACCATGCACTGCTGGCATGTGCCCTGTGTGCAAGGTGCATGCGGGCTCCATGTGGGCTCCACGCCTCGTCAGTGAAGCGTGGCACACATGCTGCCCTGCTCCACATGCATCCCCTCCCCCCACCCCACCTGCTCCAGGGGTGTGCCCCGTGCCTCTATGTCCGCCGCCACCGGCAGGGGCACGTCGAGCAGCAGCCGCCATGGCTCTGCGTCGCTGCGCTTGGGCGCGGCGCCGGCGGCGCGGTCCTCGCGGAAGCGCCGCAGTGCGGCGCGCGCACTCTGCACCACTTCCCCGTGCGTGCTGCGCGTCGGGCGTTGAGGGAGGTGCACATGCTTCCATAAGCTTGATACAGACTGTATTGTATAGGGTGCTTGGTGTTTGTGATAATCGCCTGTGCCACCATCGGTGATGACCATCAGGAAGCAAGAGCAGCAGCAGCAGCAGCGCACGACGCCATACATCGGATCGCGCCGTTGCCACTTGCAGATCGCACCGCGGGGGTATTGGAGATGTTAAGCTTTTTACGCTGCCGCTGTTGCTGCTAGTGTGGGCTCCAGACGCCTGGCACACATTTCGATGGCCCACGGCCCTCTTTGGCCCGCGGGCTCTCCGCAAGCTTGATATGGTTTTTGAAGGGATCATGATCGACATACCAATCATCAAATCAATGGTTGATCGACGCATACACCCCGGAAGTATCAGGACGTTCGACAAGGTCACCCGGTGCCGCACCGCGACTGGAGGCCAAGTGCTTCATGGCCGCTGCATCAGCAGGTCCTCGTTGCAGTCACGGCCGGCCTGAACCACGTAACTTCCATGACTGACTCCTCTCCATTGTGATTAACACGGAAACTCTGGGGTTGGTACAGGCCTGTGAACCTTTCTCATCAAGCTCGACCAAAAACAGGCCTGACACCCCAGGTCCGAGGTTGGGGAGGTACGGCCTCGCATGCAACAGAGATCGCAATGGTAATGAGGACTGAGGGGTGGACCACAAATGAGGCTAGCGTTGTAAGGAGTAAGGCATCGTAGGTGCTTGTGAGGCATGCATGCAAGCAAGTTAATGGTGGTGCGCAACTGTCGCGAACAGTGATTGCGCTGGCAGGTAACACCAGCTGCAATGTTTAAAATGAGCAAAGGAAGCAGCCCGAAATCCAGTGCCAGCCAGGCATTTTTAAGGCGCACTGCCGGACCGCGCTCGCCAGGGGGCTGGGCGGGCTGTACCACTTGTGCGTGGTCAGGTCCTGAGGTGAACAGCGTATCGTTAGCAAACATCAAGGCTCCGCAGCACTGGTTAGTGTTGCATACATCAAACTTGTAGTAATGTGTTGAGCTGCATGAGATGATGAATTGTGCGGTGCTGCAGCATATCAGCACCGTGCAGTGCAGTGCAGTGCGGCGTGCATCAGTTCGCCATGCGCCACGCAAGACCCTCGCCCTGCATGCGAATGCACGTGTGGTAGCGCCAGCCGTGCCACATGGGCCCTGAAACCGAGCATGCAAGGCAACGAGAGGCGCCAGGAAGCTCATCAGCGGCCAATGCCCCCGCCAATGCCTCCTGCCAAGAGCCTGCGCAACGGAAGCGGCAGGGCAAGGTGGCACCGGGGGTGCGTCAATTGCGGGCGCGTGCGAGCGTGTCAGGCCCCTGCGGCAATACCTGGTCGGTTAACCCCATGCAAAGCATGATGTATTCGTGTTGGGTGCAGGCAGCACAGCTTGCAACTGATCAGCATCCCCACACCACTGTGCTGCGCCCTGGCCGCTGCGCCAAGCACCTACCCGGCAATCAGAGGCGCGAGCCACGTCGCCCACCCCGGCATGAGGGAGCCAAGGGCGCCGCTCAGCCATCCAAGGATGGAGCCGGGGTTGCTGTCCAGGGCGCTCTTGAGGGCCGGGACCAGCCTCGCAGCTGAAAGGAAGCCGGCGGTCTGGGCCAGGTGGATGCGGTCGATCCAGGTGGGTTGCTTGTTTCTGGCACGCAGTGGTAGCTTGGATTCCACCACAGGAAAACTAATGTCCCATGCAACAAACCAGCTAAAGCAGTTTGTGTTACCCGCCCAGGTCCCACGACTAGTAGTACACACGCCTGTCGATGCACACACCCCCGGGTGCGCCATGGAACCAACCTTTTTTCCATACTTCTTGGACACCGCCGCTGTCCACTTCTTCTCATTCGTCTTGTCCTTAAAGTAGGACAGCACCTGGTGAATAACCCACAACGGAGCGCGAGGTGCAAATGTATGTCTGGAGGAGGCAGGTAAAAAAAGCCAGACCGCCAGCAAATGTGCAATTCCATCCCTCCAGCCCTCTTCAGAGCTTCTCCAACCGACCGTTGTGGCTCTGCGTACGACCGCGCCCCACAAAGCATGCTGCAGGTTGGCAGTCAGGCCGGGCACGCCCCTCGTCGGTCCGTCTCGGCAGCGCACACCTTGTCAATTGCGTCCTGAGTCAGCGGCTTCTTGGCCTGGGAGTCCCCACCTGCACCCCCCGCCGCCCCTGGCCTGTAGTGGTCCACCAGGCAGGCCACCGCCTCCAAACTGAAGCCGCGCTTCAAGAAGGCCTCCTCAATAACCCCCGTGACGGTGCCGGCCGGCGAAAATGTGAAGAAAGCCTCGGGGGTGCGCGCGACGCGGCTTGCGAGCTTGAACAGCTCTGCAGGCGCAAGCCCCTCAAAGCACGGCGCCGGGAGGCCCTCCGCACCACGTGCGGCGGGGGCTGCGGCGGCCGCAAGGAGCGAAAGGAGAAGGAAGGCGGCTGTCATGGCGTCAACAAGGAAGGAAGCCGTATCGACGAGACCGGCGGGGTGGGTCGTCGGTGGTGACCGGCTGTTGTTGCAGTGACTGGACTGGAGGCCTGGCCCCTGCACGCTGCGCCAGGAGGGGGAGAAAGATGGGGAGGTATATAGAAGGCTGCAACCATCTGAATTCAACGAGGTCCGTGAAACAATGGTTGGCAGGCAGGCAATACGCAGCAATGCTCAAATGTGCGCATCTGCAAGCCCCCCCCCGCAGAGTCCGTGCGTGGCAGGCTCGCTCGATTTCCACCTGTACGGTGACGGGAGCTTTGAAGATAACACGCAAGCGAAGTAACGCTCTTTTGCGCCCTCAACGGAGGTCGTACAAAGAACAATGTCGGGACCGGCCTCACCTCTCGAGCCGCAGAGAGAGTGCGGTGTCAGGAACAAAGCACAGTAAGTTGTATTGATGAAGAAGCAAGCACAAAAATTCCTCTGTTCCTTGTAATGCGAGCATACATAGCATCGGGGGCCGCAGTGACAAACATCACTCGCCTGCCACCCTGCACAGTCAGCTTGAGGCGTTGCATTAGTCGTTGGCTGCCTTTCATGCAACAATTGGTATTTATGTGGCCTTTTGTCATATTGCCAAGGTGCATGTGGGAAGGTCACAATCCTAGTGCTTACTGGCTGGTCCACTATCCCTGAAGACCCGGGCAGTTGTGGAGTTGGTACCTGGTCGAGAAGCAGATCAAAACACTCCAAGAGAGGCTTTGTAGGCGGCGTTTATAACGTGGTCTTCAACTGCATGCAATTGAGGCAGATATACTTGACAGGAGGAACATCCAGTAGGGAGCAAATGAGGCATGGACGATCAGAGCCACAGTACCTTGACGTGCCGCCTTGGTCTCCATCACAGTGATTGAGGACGTCAGAGGCAAGCTTCAATACAATGTCCAAGGTCTGGTAGTAATGAAGGGTCAGGGAGTGCTAGCGTCCAACGGAGGTTGTGCGGGCCGTGAAAGCAAGATGAACGGCTGCCCAGAGCGAGGAAGCCAGCAAGGACAATCGGTGGCGAGGGATGTAGGTGTGCATCAGTGTGCAGGCAGGCAACCCATGGTGGAGCACAACAGGGATCGCGGCCTGATGGGACGCTGAGGTGTGTACGTCAGCACAGGTGAGCAGGCGGCGCCTGGTCAGGCCAGGTTTGCTGGAGGCGGCGGGTGGCGGTTTGATGACCGATTGCGTGACAATTGCATGCGACTGCACACCAGCACGTGCTCGGCATTCAGGAGTGGCAGATGCAGCCGTCATAGCAGGAACCAGCCAACCAAGGCAAGCTTTCAGTTATACCAGCCAGGACTTTGGTACTGGAAGGCAGCAACAGTTGCATCACCCGCCAGGGCGGCAACAGGCGCATGCTCAGAAGCTGTCGCCTCGCCTGCCTGTTGTGCTGCTCTGCCGCCTTTAATGCGCCCGATATCAGGGCACATTCCCCACCCCTGCCTGTCCTTGCGGTTGCTGACAGGGCAGGTCGAGCCGAGTGACGCCAGGCGGGCACTTGCGGCAGCTTCGCACTGCGGAGGGGAGTGTGCAGCCCTGCCTGGAGAGCACCGCCAGCCTTGCCACGACGACTGTCAAGTATAGCCATTTTCACGGCCTTCATTACCCTTACAGAGGATCGACGAAAGCTGAAATCCTGTTTACATCGTCCCAACTTGGCGGGGGGCGGGTGCCCCGCGAAGTAAGGACATGAAGCGCGGCAAGGAGGCGGAGGAAAATGCCGAGGCTGTATCCTGCAAGAGGGCTCGGGACCTGGCGTCGGCCCTGCAGAGGGGTGAGTCGACGGTGCCGCGATCTCGGCGCGACCAACGCGTCCTTGATCTTTCGGAGAGGTCAAATGGCGACATATGAGACCTTTCGATCGGCTCTCGCCTCCCCACAGCTCTCCAAGACATCAAGGCCAGCAGCCCGGGAGCCTGGCGCGCAGCGAAGCAAGCAGTTCTGCAGGACGCTTGTTGCATCGCGTTAATACAGGATGATGGAAGCGTCTTGACGCTGCAAGGCGTTGTACATGTCGTGCCGGGGTCGCCGGCGGCACAGCGTGCACACTATGCTGCGGGCGCGCAATCCGGCGCCATTGCTGCCGAGGCCTCCCTCGACGCGGCCAGCGGCGAGCTGCTGGATGCTCGCACCTCCTGCTGCCCCGGTGGCTTCCACCCGGTGCTCGGCAGCTTCTGCCCATGCGTCGGAGCGCTGCTGCTTGCTGCAGCCTCGGCCGAGCGGGGGCCGGGAGGCTTGCGGGTGGCGGGCGGTGCGAAGACAGAAGCCGCGCGGCAGCGATGCGAGGTGCGTGTGGACAATTTGATGGGCTTGGTTTTGGCGGGCTTCATGTCTGGGGCCGGCAAATGTGGTTGGCAGGCCACTTTGTGGCAGTCCGAGGTTGGCGATCGAGCAGGTTGTGAGCACGCGCACCCTCGGCATGTGTGCGCATGCAGTAGCAGCAGCAGCAGCAGCAGCAGCCCCCGATGCGACGCCTGGCTCCGCTCTGGTGCTGCATGCGTGCGCACCGTGCATGTACATATGAACAGCACGCTCCAGCATGTCGATAGTGCATGAGCGCCGTTAGCCCTCATGCAAGTTGAATCGCGTCGTCACCAACACTTTTGGCTTGTCGGACCCACGTTTCTGGCCACCCTTGGCTGCCCTGATGGTGCAGGGAGACTTGCCATCCTGGGAGGGCCCCACGCTGCAGCAGGCGCTGGGCCAGCGCCCCTTCAAGGACTCAACGCTGCGCCTCCTGCGGCAGGCGGCGGCGCCGCGGCCGCCGCCGCCGGGCGGCGCGGGGTGGGGGGCTGGCAAGGACATGGCGTCGGGGGTGAAGCTCAACTCGCGGCGGTCAGGGTTTGAATACGACCGGTACTATGGCGGCAGGTGGGGCGCGTATGAAGGCAGCATGGGGCAGCCGCCTTCACAGACTGCCTTCCAAGAATGGGCTGTGGTTTTGACGGGGACGAACCTTGTCATCGACTGAGAGCGGGCCATGCCGCGGTTGCCTCATGGCGTGTGAGTACTGGCACCTGGCATGCCCCACCTGCAAACAACAACATGCAAACGTGTCCTTGCATGCCCGCTGCTCCCTCCGCCAGGCCCGTCCAGGCCCCGGGCGCTGTGGACCGCGCCCCCGCAAGCGTTGAAGACGCTTTGGACGACCTCCCCAACGACCCGCTGTTCCGCAACACCGATCTAAGCGCCCTTGACTTTTTGAGACGCCCGCCTGGCGGAGAGGCGGGGG